TGGGACTAGACTGTCCAAAACTGTCCTCTGAGAGGATATTTGCCAAAAAGTAACACCGAAAGGAAATTCTCGGTAATAAAGTTTGCTTAAGACAACCATCTTTAAATAGGAGTTTAAAAGAAGTATCCAATTAGCATGAAAAATTATGACACTTTGGAGGGAGGCCACCCATCAGACACCATAAGGAGTTTATATCCATCCAACTAGAGGATGGACAGCAAGGGGGCAACACATAGAGACCCACATATGGAGTGCACTTATGTGACCTCATGGAGAGCTTTCTCCATGGCATGCTTTAGCAGAAGGAGCAGTGTACACACAACAGTAGAGCACTTGCATCTTGAGCACAGTTGTGTAAATAGAGGAATGGGTGCTCCGAGGGAGGGTGTATATGCTTATAATCCAGGTGCCCAGGAGTGAAGAACAAAGGGGAGCAGGGGTTGCAAACATGCATAGGGTTGTGGTGAGGTTAAAATTTTGTGGGATTATTGAGAGAAGATATTAGTATAAATATTGATACAATATTTAAAGATTTTGTAGGTGTTTGATAACATTTTTTAGGTTCCACTAGTGTGTTTTTTTCAGTTTTATTGCTCCTGGATGCATAGTTCACTGATTTCTGGTTAATTATGTGGAGCTAATCTAGATTTGAATGCTGCTTTGACTTAAACCATGTTAATCAAGCAGTTTTTCCCTTCAGCACCACACCAGTTGAAAACAGGTCCTTGCTTTCAAGGACTTGTTTTCAGCAATGAGTGATTTATGGAACTGAACTCTTCCCTTCATTATATTTCCGATACTGTTGTTCCGAAGAAACTGAGGTGATCACCTGGGATAAATGTTGCGTGACTATGATCAGTCAGAGGGAAGGAACAACCCCAGAGAAGGTTGATGTGCACAAAAGAAATCGGGATGAATAAGATAAAAGAGATTTGTTGGTTGGTGGGAATGTGTGTACTTGTTGAGAAATGAGGGTTCACAGGGTTTTTTTTCAGATAATCCCACTACTTTGCCCAATATCTGTAATTTCATAGCAACCCAAACAAGCTAAGTTATTTTAAAGCATTTTAAAAGCCACCTTTTCTTATAATAATAAAAGTTTCTCTGCCTCAGTAATCATCATGGCTAGGCTTCGTGAATGAAGATTTGGGAAGGGCTCTGCCCACATTTGTTATGGGTGCACTGGTGGCTAAAAAGGCCAATATGAGATAGACCAGTTCAGTTGCAAAAGGCACAGCAGAAGGACTCCTTAGGTGGAATATTCTGCTAGGCATGATTCTTTCTGCGTTGTCTTTTCTCCTCAAGAGTGATCCTGCGTGTGTTCTCAAAAGAAGCAGCAGTGTTAAAGATAGTGTGTCTCCAGACCTCCCAATTGGAGGCCAGAGTAGACCAGTTATGGTGATCAATATGGCCAAGGCTGAGATATCGTTTCAGAGAGTCCTTGTATTTCCTCTTCGGGTCTCCTCTCATGCGGCAGCTGGTGGCAAGTTCACCATAAAGCAAGATCTTAGGGAGGCGGTGGTCCTTCATCCTTGAGACATGCCCTGCCCAACGCAGCTGTGTTCTCAGCAACGTGGCATCAATACTTGTGACTGCTGCTTGTTCTAGAACAGACATGTTAGTCACATAATCTGACCAGTGGATATTAAGGATTGTACAGAGATAGCATTGATGGAAGCGTTCTAAGAGTTGCAGGTGGTGGCAACAGATGACCCATGATTCCGATCCATATAAAAGAGTAGACAGCACAATGGCTCTATAAACACTGATCTTTGTACTTTTCTTCAAGTGTTTATTATGCCAAACTCTTTTATGAAGTTTTCTGAAAGCTCTATATGCCTTTGCTAACCTGTTGTCTATCTCTCCGTCAATCTTACCATCCAAGGAGATGAGGCTGCCTAGGTAATTAAGCTACTGGACTGATTTGAGCTCTGATTTCCCAATGGTAATATGTGGATGATGGAAGATGTCCTGAGGTGCAGGTTGATAGAAAACTTCTGTCTTCTTTAGGCTGACTACCAGCCCAAAAAGCTCAGCAGCCTCTGCAAAGCAGGATGTTAAATGCTGCAGAGCTACTTCTGTGTGGGTGACAAGGGCAGCATCATCAGCATAAAGCAGCTCCCTGACAAGATGATTTAAGGTCTTAGTGTGGGCCTTCAGTCGCCTTAAGTTGAATAGGCTTCCACCAGTACAATATCGAATGCAGATACCGTCCTGATCATCGAGGTCTGCTGTGGCCCTTTGGAGCATCATGCTGAAAAAGATTGTGAATAGGGTTGGTGCAAGAACGCAGCCTTGTTTCACACCATTAGTTATTAAAAAGGGCTCAGAAAGTGCGTCACTATATCTGACTTGGCCGTGCTGATCCTCATGAAATGAGATGATCATTTTAAGGAACTTGGGGGGACATCCTAAGTGTTCAAAATCTGCCACAGACCTTTTCTGCTCACAGTGTCAAAAGCCTTGGTGAGATCAACAAAGGTTACATAAAGACCTTTGTTCTGTTCCCTACACTTCACTTGCAGTTGTCAGAGAACAAACACCATGTCTGTGGTACTCCTGTTGGCTCCGAAACCACATTGGCTTTCAGGTAGAATTCCTTCCACAATAGCAGGTATTAGTCTGTTCAAAAGTATTCTTGCCAGGATTTTACCAGCAATGGAGAGCAGAGTAATACCACGTTAATTTGAACAGTCTGATTTAACTCCTTTCTTCTTATACAAAGTGATGATGACTGCGTCACAAAGGTCTGATGGTAGTTCGCCTAGTTCCCAACAGCACACCACAAACTCATGAAATTTAGCATGGAGTGCTTGGCCCCCATGTTTCCAGACTTCAGGTGGAATTCCATCAACCCCAGCTGCCTTGCCAGTTTTCACCTGCTGTATGGCCTTAAGAGTTTCTCCCAAAGTGGGGGCGGGAAGCTATAAATTAAAAACCTTTCCTTATGATTTTCAGTGCTTCGCTGGTTATGTTTTCTATACAGAAATGTTGCAGTGAAAAATTACTTATAAAGCAGTAACTAGCCAGTATAAGATCCTACATAAATCCTGTTTGTTCTGGATGATTTGTTGCCAGTTCTTTGGTCAATAACTGTAACAAAATTTATAGACCTACTGTCATGCGTGATCCACATTTGAAATGGAAGTCAAGTTCACATGGCACAGGAACTGTAACATATCCAGGCTCCTGGGAAATTGCATCATATCCAGACTCCTGGGAAATTGCATAACTAAAATATGACTTTATTTCTCTAATTTGATATAGTTGTATTCAAGACAATAGTGCAATAATGAGAAAAAGGGGCCTAGTTTTAACTATTTAGCTTATACACTCAGCACACGCAAACTAATTTTTTCAGTCAAGGAGAAGGAAAATTAGTCCATGTAGAATTTCATGCTATCATGGTGATACTGCTTTAATTGAAAGTTAGCTCAGAGATCTTCACATTCCTATGATGTCTGCTGGGCAGGCTTGGTCTAACCAGAAAGAAAACCTTTCTATTTCGAGTGTGGTCATTATCTAAAATCCCAGATTTCACATGTTCACTTTGCTCTGTTTTTGGGAAAAATTCCATTAGCATCACAGCACAGCTGACATGAGTTAAGATCATCAGGAATGTTTATAGAATAACAACAAGTCTGATAACTGAAGGTATGCCTGACAGCTGGCCAATTCCTTTCTGATACTGGCTTCAAAACTCATTTTCTATAGCTGAAATCCATGTTTTCGAACTTGATTCTTCCCATGCTCGTTGTTTGTCTCAGAGTTGAAACTACAGAAAACAAGAAGTGAAAGAAACTAAATTTTATTAGAGCAAAGCATACATTTTCTTCGCTGTAACCCTTATACAGAACACACAAGCAGCTGAAGAGGAACAATCTGAGAACAACTCAGTTCCCCAGTCCAGAGTCAGACTGGTGAAAGTTTCCCAAGTGCTTTTGATTTGGAAGTTAGCATTCTCAGTACTACATTTTGAGAAAATAGTATATGATTGTAAAAAGTCATTAATTTAGTTATATTAGCTTCTCTGGAGCCACTTGCAATCTATGTTGTGTTTGTCAAATTGTTCATAAAAACTTTTTGTAATTTGTTTATAGGCACATATTATATTTTATATTAATAGAATAGCAATAAACTGCTCACAGCTCAGCTACAGTGTTTCTAACACAGCATTGAATTGTTTTTATTAGTTCTGCTAACAATGCAACATTTACTTCAGGTACACACTGCAGCATTGTGTTTTATCTTCTTAAAATCCACTAATAATTGGCATTTATGTAAAATGATTCCTTTTTAAACTACATAAATTTTTTAGTGTCACATCGGTTACACTATTAGATTACGCATTTGTATTTGGTCACGAATTGAGCTTTGTCTAAATGATGTTATATGACACCTAACAATCGCTGGTCAGGACAGGCTACCTTATTAACTGCATTTTCAAAATAATTTTCAAGTGCACACAAGAGCTCTTCTTACACTGTATGCTAAAAGAGGTTAAATGGTTTTAAATGGCATTGTTAAATGTTTCGGAAAGTCAGATTTCAGTTTACAAGCCAGTGCTGTAAATGTAGGTCCCCCAATCTCTAATAAAACTCATAAATTTAAATTCTGTTGGTGTGATGCAGAATTTAAAAAAAAAGCCATTTAATAACCACTATGTCCCTAAAAAGCAAATATATGCACAAGTGTATGCATACTCATTGCTGTATTCATTATTACACTAAAATCGAATCTTTATTTTGAAAATATGCAATCTTAAATGTTTCCAAAATGTTACCAATATGGATGATTAGGCGTGCTCACGTAGCAGGTCTCCTTTAGTCTTATGACCAGGGGAGATACGTATTATTCAAAACACATAAGAGATTAGCCTCTCATCCTGAAAAATAATAGATATACATAGAGATGAGCCTTTTCAGTTAACATCAACAACTCAGTGGGAAATAAAAAAACAGGAAAAAAAAAGTGTATCAAAAAAATGTTCATAAAACTTACATGCAACACAAAGGTAGATGAAGAGCTAAACAGAGGGGAGATAAAGAGCAGACTAATTACTTGGTAAACAGGAGACAGTTTCATAAGTGCAGTGAAATAAACACCCAGGAACCAAGAATGTGAATCAGTCACGCCAAGAGCTGAGAGCTCAGTGTTGGAAATTCATGCTTCTGAACATACCAAGTGAAACAGGTTATAAAAAACTAAATATGATCTCTCAGTTCAGAATATCAGTTAAGACGTGTAACAAAAGCCTTAAATGGAGAAGAGTATTCTGGGAAGTATTGAAAAGCACCAAAAAAACAATGCAGTCATTTGTCACAGTCAGCATGGTTTCATGAGAGGAAAGTCCTGCTTATCAAACTTGATTTCCTTCTTATGTCAAGGTAACCCACCTGGTTTATCTAGGGAAGTGAGTTGATGTAATCTTTTTGGATTTCAGCACAGCTTTCGATACTGCCCCTCACAGGATCTGTCTGGACAAACTGTCCAGCACACAGCTGGATAAACACATCATGTGGTGGGTGACCAACTGGGTCATGGGTGGAGCACAGAGGATAATAGTGAATGGAGTGACATCAGACTCGCAACCTGTAACTAGCAGATTCCACAGTGCTATTTGATTGGTTTTACTATTATGCTTCAGACATAAAGTATATTGTGAATTGTTCTTCTTCATAGCCAGATATGGTGACTGTATGTATTTCAAAATACATGCAATTTACATTTTATTGCTGCTGTCCTTGCTTTACTTTCTCTAGTAAATGGGGATTATTTAAAGATTACTTATATTTTTATAAATATATGACTTTACATTCCCAAAGGTAAAATTTTGTAGACAGAGGCTCTTATGCATGTTTATTTCTAGATATTCATAGAACATGATGTGCAAGCATAAAAATGAATATTCATCTTTGCAGGCGGGCAGTAGATTCAGTCCATTAGCCTTCACAAGCTGGCAGAAAGAGAAGCTGCTTTAGTCCTGAGGCTGCAGTAGCCAGAGCAGCAGCTGTTACACAGTGGGTTTTTAGCATGAGTGAAATAGGTCAAACTGAAAGCTGACTGGTCCTTAGACAGGCTGCAAGGTGTAATGCCTCAGCACTTCACGACTCTCGTGTGTCAAGGGCACGTCTCCTCTTGAATGTGGCATGAGTTGCTGTCACTTATGGCCGTGTTCTTGCCTCATATTGTACCAGTTCTTTATGGAAACATCTCCTTAACCACACATGGGCCATTTATAGGTTATTGCTGCACAGTTCATCTGGCTCTGGACACAGTGACTGGAGGAAACTGTACACCATGCGTATGATAGAGGACTATTGGTGAGACAAGGAAGGGAAGAAACCATTTTCCCTGACTGACACTCTCTCCTTTCATCACATTCTGCTGCATTCAGCCTATTTCATTTCCCTGGCATCCCATGAGGAATGGAAATGCTCACACTTACCAATTTTTACTGCCTAGGAAGGCTGAGTGCATCAAAACAATGGAAACCAACGCATGATCCAAGCTAAAGCACAACCGCCGGTCTCCAGTACTCCATGAATGAAAGCAAAGATAAGGAAACAGCACAGTAAAAAACATGACAGTTAAAAGCCAAGTAGGATTAAGGACATGGCTGCAGTTCTAGCAAAATGATTGCTTAGTCTAAATCTCTGAGATCTTTAATAGAATCCCATAAGTTTAGAAAGAAATCTGATTATAAGGATGTTAATGTGCCTAAGTGTAAGCTAAGCTCAGGTTTGAACCAAAACAGCCACAGTGCCTTTGTTGCCATGTCACTAACTGATCATTTGGAGCACTGGGATTGCCAGGATTGACACAGTGAAAATTAAAGGCTATTTGTGAGTCACTGATAATTAAGTAGGGAGGAAGCAAAGGAGAACCTGTTTTACCACTGGTTTGGCAGGTTCAGAACATTACTTGTGTCCTAGCAGGAGAGAACAAAATGCCATGCTGGGTTAGCAATGCATTTCTGCTGTGTATTTCCACAGAAATTCGGTGCAGAGCACTGCTAACAGATGAACTGACACAAGGACACTTTGGCTCTCCATGTCAATGCAAGACAGCAATATTTCATCATATCGAAGAACTTCTATTTCACACCTGACTGAAACCCAAAATATGAAGTCCCCAGATAGATGCCTCTTTTGGATTATGTCAGTCTGAGAAGCCAGCATGCATTAAAACTGCGTGTGTCAGAAATGGCTGTGCTGCATATGCTTAGCAGGTGCTCATCAAACATCTCTTCAGACTGCCTTTGTGGTATAGCAAAACTGAGAAGAAGTGATTACAAAGTGTGAACCTGATAATCTCAAAACATGCTGGTCTTATTAGCTATAACAAAAAGACCCTGCTCCCTGAGTAATCTCTGCAAACTGTCAAACATCACCAGACATGACAGCCCTTGTTTGGCTCTGGGATACTATCCACACTGTAAACTATTTGCCTGGGCTTCTGCAGATAATGGAGATGGAACAAATACTGCAGTAAATGAACCTATCTGTCTCACAGGATGACATCAGACTGGATCTCTGCACAAAATACAAGTATTATTATGGAAATTGTATTTTGACACTTTGATACAAGAAACACTCCCAGAATATTTGGAATAAGTTATCTAAAATTTTTTTTCTTGGGTGGGAAAGAAACATATCAATGGAACAGCAAAGATAAGAATGACTGCATTTTTTGTCTTTAGTCATTAGATAAATGCCTTAAAAAAGACTGCATAATGAAATACAAACACTAGATAACAGGTCAGGGACCATTTCTGAAAAATACTTAGTGACATATATAAGACCTCAGCCCCAGAGCTACAAGCACAAAACCAGTTTTACTTTTAAAAATATACAAGGCTCCAAAAATTCGCCAGTCAAACCTTTAGAATAGCCCTCGGTTCTTTAGTACCTTGAGGTAGCATAAAGACAGGACTCTGCACACGTTTTCTCGGGAGATACTTTTACTGGTAACTTTAGAAAAAAAGGGAGAAAATAAAGGAAGTTGGCAAAAGCTTAAGAGGGTAAGATACAACCAAGAGAGCATTCCACAAAGCTATGACTTAGCACATACTAAACCATGCAACTTAGCAAAATCCAACCCATTCCATCCAAGGTACCCAAAATATTAAGAAAGGAGATTAAGAGAAGAAGTAAAGAGGGAGACAATGAGAGAAAAACAGCTACGGCCAGAGAGTCCTGTGCAAGTCCAGCTTCTGCATGGCCAGGTGGTAAGTCTTGAGCCAAGATGGAGCCACATGTTGTTGCTTAATGTGTTTTGGCCCTCTGTCGCCATCCCTCCCAGGCAGAACTCCTGGCCCATTGGCCACTCTGGCGCTCTGGGGCAGGGTGAGGGACAGTGCTGCCGATATGTGAGCCAATCTAAGGCTGGGTTAGGGGTGCTGGGGGGCATGGTGTGGAGCAGTGATCCTGGGCTGCCTTTGACTGACAGCCACTCCAGGGTCACCTCAGCAGGCTTGGAGGGGCTGGCATGTGGGATATGGCATTACCTCCCCACACATACACACACACTTGAGTTGGTTCTGATCCAATGCTTGATATAACAAGCCAATGTATCACAGCACAGATAGTCTTCATTCACTCTGAGGTATGTCTTTGAAGCCAAAGGTAAATAGGGTATAAATAACACTCGAGGTTATATTTAAATATGGCACAGCCTTCATTTGCCATAGGCAATGCTTTAGTTGTGCTTCAGTGAAGGCCTCTCCTAGCGTTACCTAAAGACATCCTCAGTTACTCTTACTCGCGTGTAAATATAAGAGCAAAATATCCTTTTTCTGTCCCTCAAAAATCCACAGTTCCTGGAAGTCTGAAAACTGATAGTGCAATTTCTGTCCTGCAGGTGGGCAAGGCCTGTGTACCATCTCTGCATTTGTATAAAAACTGAATAAAATTTCTCCTACCTTAAGGTATTCAAGTTTAATGTCTTAGTTTTCAAGCTAACTGTAGCCACCAGGAACTGAATCATTAAATTAGGAAAAAGGGTCTCAAACATCTTGAATTTGTTCTTTTTTGCATAGCCCATTTAAATACTCATTGAGCCAGACAGAAGGAAAGCATGAAAAGGACTATATCTAAGTCTGTAGGTATGGCTTGCACCCATAAGCTAAACTAAGACAATAAAAAAGCCCCCAAAACAAGATGACTTCATATATGCTGAGTAGAAGGATTGACTTCTAGCACTGCTAACTCACTGCTATCTCCCTGACAAAGCCTGAGCATTGCCAAGGAGAAATAATGCTCCTTGTTAAAAGCAAACACACACCACCTCCCACTAGTAGATGGATCCCCAGCCAGTCTCCAAGCAATAGCCACCTTAGAAACCAAAAACACCCTCATTGCCCTTCTTCCCTCTATCTTACTATGGTTCTATTGCTGAGCACAACATTTTATGGTAGGAATATCCTTTTGGCTTATTCAAGTCAATTGTCCCAGTGGTACTGCTTCCCAACTTCTTGACCACCCTTAGCCTACCTGGGAGGTGGGATGGGTAAAGTGGGAGAAAGAAAAAGACTTGGACCTGTGCAAGTGCTATTCAGCAATAAGCAAAATATTAGTGTGTGTTATCAACGCTGTTTAGCCTCAAATCCAAAACACAGAATCATATAGGCTGCTGTTAAGAAAATTAACTGCATCTCAACTAGAACCAGTATAGAGACATATTAAGAAAAGCTAACTTTTGTGGTTCTTGACAATAAAGTACTCATGAATTACTTGACCATTAAAAAATCAGCACAATCTTTGTTCCCTCAGCTGAATGCCCCATGTCAGTAGATTAAACATGTTTTTTTTTCCTTTGGTCCGCTGATGAGCTACATATTCTCTGCTAATAAATAAGGCATAACAGTAAGTCAGTAATATTAACAGTAAGTCAGCTTAAGTCCTGATTCAAACCCTAAGTCCTGATTAAAATTAAAAACTAGTATGTTTTGTCAGGCCATTAATAAGAAACAAAAGTAATGGGAAAGATTTGAAAGCAATTTATTCTTCTCAAAACATAACTGAGGAACTTTTTACCTTCAGAAATAAATTTCTTTATAAGCAACTAATCCACCAAAGTGGTCAAAATACGTCCAGTCACTGGCAGGATGTTAAGCTCTCCTCCACAAGTTGTTCCACTTTCCATGACGTGGTTACATATTCACGGCAGGTGGAGGTAAAGCAAGAGAAAATAAACAGACTGATACCTACAAAGCACAATCAGACATTGTCCAGCAGCTTTGAATTTGCAGTTTTTCCACCATGTAGGACTATAGTGGTAAGTGAAGAATTCTCAAACCAACACCAAGAGCAGCTGGCACTTGAACCAGTTTTTTTTGTCTATTTGGATCTCAGAACATCCACAAAAGCAAATGGAAATCTGTACAAATAATGCTTACCTCCAAAATGCTTCCCAGCAACTAGAGTACAACACAGTGTCTTCATTCTTAAAAAATAATTTGTTCTTTGCAATAGCATACACAGGATTCTCTACCTAGTATCATTAAAATAAGATCACAAACCTTGTTTAAACTACCTTAAAATAAGTTTGTCAGTCACTGTTCTAAGAAAGGTAAATGAGGATTGATTTAATAGCATCAAAGATGGAATAATGCATAAAATAGAAGTATGAATTATATTTACAAACCTCAGTAGATTCCATTAAGAATTATACTTAATGCAGCTAAATTTCATTATAAAATTTTCTGCCCATTTGCCCAAATTCTCCAGAGAGAGCTACTTCAGCTTTACATAATCTTCATTCTTTCATTCAAAAAAAAATTCTGGAGGGACACATTTAAATGAATAAATGAATTAAAATTTATAGAGAGTAATATTCATAAACATGATGGATCTAAGAATAATGAATAAGGGATAAATAATTTATGGCATTTCATTTTGTCACACACTGCCAAACTGTGACAATAACATATTTGCTTATGTCCATGCAGACGCAAATCACAATATGGCAAGACTGAAACAAGCAACCAGCTCAGGCAAGGCATGGTGATCATTCTGCTGGTGGAAATAATTTTAAATATCTTAACGAATAGCAGATGTGGCCATTCAAATAACATTTTATTCATTCCTCATTATTTGATCACTTTAATTTTTCATTTGTTTTCAGCTAGAGTAATCAATTCTAGCAGCCAGAGAATTGCATGTCACTGTGGGCTTATCTACTAAATAGCACAACTCAGGGAACTTCATGCACTTATTCTAGATGGTTTTTGATGACATCTGCCTTTTCATTACAGCATTTCTCCAAGGATAGGTGGCAGCTTGCATCCATTGACGAGGAAGGGGATCTCAGTCAGAGCCAGCCTTCGACAGCGTGAGTCCCCAGGAGGAGCCCCCCTTCCCCCTTCTCCCTTCCCGAGCTGGTGTCAGCCCGTGTCCCCGGGACGCGTTTGGGATCGACCCGGCTCCGGCCCGTGCCGGGCGCCACAGCGCCCCCTGCCGGCCATCGGAGCGCCACTGCAGCCCCCGCTCCTGCCGATCCAACAGCGCCCCCTGCTGGCCGCGAGTGGGGCACCGCAGCCCCGCCTCCCGAGGCGCCAGCGCCCCCTGCCGGGGGTGGTTGTACCTGTGCCGAAAGGGAAAAAGTACTTCATTGTTTGGTTACGGAATTGTTGCTTGTTCTGCTGTGTTACATATATATATATATATATTTAGTAAAGAGCTGTTATTTTCCACACCTTTTCAACTGAAGACTCTTAATTTCAAAGTTATAATTACTCAGAGGGAGGAGTTTTGTTTTTCTCCTATCCCGCCCTCCTTAGCAAACACTTTTGTCTCATTACATGAGACACTAGTGCAAGTTAGTCTACATTGCATCCAGCTCAGTTTGTACCTCCATGTCATACCTCTATATCTCTCTACTGAATAAGCCATCTACCTCAGAGGTTCTAGGTGGCAGGTGGAAAGAGCATGTTAAGATCTACATAGATAAACTCTTAACTCCATTTCAGTCTTTGATGGACTCTACAATCAAATATAAGTTGTTAATTTTTGTCACAATTACAATCATACCTCATCTCTAGTCTGAGTGAAAAGCTTCAAGGCACTGAATGGTTCCCTTAATTTTCCCTTCAGTAGACTAAAAAGACCATGTTTCTTTAGCATCTCATATCAACTATTATCAGCTGGCTGGATAACTCCCCTCTTTCCTCAGACAGTGATTCCAGTCTCCAACAGCCCTTAGACATCTTCTGTGTACCTTTTCACTTGGTAAAAGCTCAGCACAAACAGCTTGTCTTATAGTAAAGCTACTCTCTTGTCCTGCTTCCTACGAAAACCTTAGGCTGCTGATCTTGTATCACGTCCCTATTTCCTTCTTTCACTCATCTGTCTGCCAGAGTCTGTCTAGTGTCTCTTACTGCCAACAGAGTGAATTAGCCTTTTTTCAAGTCTGAGCTGCCACAACTAGATTGCTTTGGGTCATCTCATTAAAAGTTAATAGGAGTGTATATGTATTACACTGTGTTAAAGCAGTATATACTTAACCAGCAACTACAAAGTGTATATAATGGTTGTTTTAATAGAAACTCCACCTTGCTTTCCTTCCATCTACTCCATCTAGTGTAACTAAGCAGTGATTTCAACGCCTGGGACATGTAAAAGAAAACCATCAAGTTAAATATGTATCAACTATGTCAAACATTTTTAGTTATTATTCTCCTTCTAGAAGTTTTTCTCATGGTACGTAAGAAACAACATATTTTTTCTGTCTGTATTCCTGATACTTTGACATTAAGAATAATTCATCTGTGTCAGTCTGTGAGGGCCTGAATTTTTATCTGTGTATGTATATTTAAAGCTGAAATACCTTAGAGAGAAATTATTTCTTTAATCTATAATCATAGTTTATTTCAGATATGCACAGAGGTTAGCAGACTAAGCATTTACAGGATATGAATAAATAGCCTTACTGTAAAGATTGTAGAAATACAGTTATGAAAAGTGAATTTGTAAATTTTGTGAACCAGTTCTAGAATTGATCTGACAAAAAAAACCAACTTAAACATACAATTGTTTTGCACACACAGGTTAATGATTTACTACTACTTTTTTCTAAGACATCCACTAAGCCAGTAGCAAAATATTTCCTAAGATGGTTTGTAGTTCATTGTTCATAAGATATTTACATAGATGCTTTCTGTATTCTCAGACTAAGAAAGGGTTTCATTAACCAAGAAAAAAATTGAAGTGTCAATAGCAGGGCTAAATCATACAGAAAAAAAATCGTATCAGAGGCAGCACAATGGTTTTCATGCACAACAAAAGACTTGTACCAGATTTTGATTAACTTATAAATTGAGAGCATGTCCAGTATATAAAAGTAGTCTTAACTGGAAATGCCATTAACTTGTTTATGATCTCAAAGATAATCAGCAAAAAATAATATAATATGTTGGTATTATGACAGCAGTTAGTACCTTCAACAAAAGTCCAAATAGTACAAGATTGAACAAGCCACTCAGGCCATTGCTAAATTTAGTATTAAGTAATCTCACTACTTCAAAATCTTGAAGCTGTTCAAATAACCTAGCAATGGTATAAGAAGCTGAACACAGTAGAGTCTAGCATACTTAATACCACATAAATCTAAGCTCTTACATTATTTACTGTGTGACACAATAATACTGCTCTCCATAGATAGGCATCAAAACTAGCCTTTTGGAACTCCTCTAGTGTTAAAAAAAAAAAAGGCATTTTAAATTTATATATTGCTCTTTAAGTGTGTGGGTGTTTAAGCTTTTGTTATAGCTTTTCTGTTTGGGAAGTACATGAAGAAGCTTATTGATTTAAGAATATCTTGTATACTCTTAAAGACAGACTCTCAAGACTGTAGAGAATGACCACTGTCTACTAGTATCAAAATAAAGCTATTCACAGAATTAATGTTTGACGTTTGTAAGGTCAGATGAAATTGTTATGCACGCTGAATCTGACCTTGTGAACCACTTTGGCCACTGCATTTTTCAAAATATTTTTGCACTGATCACATAAAAATGGTTGACATAGAGCTTTAAGAAATCCATTCAAGCCATGAATCAGAGTGGTGTTTAGTATATTTATCACAATGATTATTTAGTATTCACCAAAAGGGAAATTATTTTTTTTCTTGAATTTTATGATGTTCTGTTAATATCAATATGTTAATTTGCAATATATCTGCAATGGAATGGAATAGAATAGAATAGAACAGAATAGAATAGAATAATTCCAATTGGAAAGGACCTACAGTGATCATCTAGTCCAGCTGCCTGACTACTTCAGGGCTGACCAAAAGTTAAAACATTTTATCAAGGGCATTGTGCGAAAGCCTCTTAAGCACTGGCAGGCTTGGAGTATTGGCCACCTCTTTTGGAAACCTGTTCCAGTGTTTGATCATCTAATTAAAGAAGTACTTCCTAATGTCCAGTCTGATCCTCCCCTGGTGCAGCTTTGAACCATTCCCACATGTTCTCTCACTGAATCCCAGGGAGAAGAGAACAGCCCCCTTCCTCTCCTATTCCTTCCTCTGGAAGCAGTAAAGAGCAATGAGGTCACCCCTCAGCCTCCTTTTCTCCAAACTAGACACGCCCAAGGTCCTTGACCACTCCTCATAGGATATTCCTTCCAGCCCTTTCACCAGCTTTGTTGCCTTCCTCTGAACACATTCAAGGACCTTCACATCCTTCTCTGGACAGGCTGCTCCAGTACCCCACCACCCTTATAGTAAAGAAATTCTTCCTAACATCTAAATCTGTCCTCTTTTAGCTTAAAACCATGTCTCCTTGTCCTATTTTTGTCTGCCTATGTAAAAAGTCACTCTCCTTCCTTTTTAAAAGCTCCCTTTAGGTACTGGAAAGTTGCTCTAAGGTCTCTCCAAACCCTTCTCTTCTCCATGTTGAACAACTCCACTGTAGATCTCTAGTGATTTTTCTCATCTGAAGTCATCAAATTAAAGGCAAACCTGTTTGAAGTTATTTGTGCACTTGTGTTAGCCCTACTGAGCCACTCAAAAATCTTTTGCTCTGCAATTTTGAGGCAGACCAGGGACAATATTTTCAAGTTTAAGGATCATTTTTATTTCCATCAGGTGTTCATGGACTGAATTCTTGATTACCGATTGCTTAGCCAGCATGAAGAATGTTTTGGGTTTTTTTCTGGCCAAGTAGGTTAGTTTGAGTGATACTGTATTTAAACTAATAAAATGTTGCAAAGATAGATAAGAGACTACCTTCAAGTGCATTTTCCTTACTTCTCCTACAGTGCACATACACTTCAGTTGATCTACCAACCGAACAACATTGCTGGGAGGCAAATAAAATTGCTGTGAGGTATAGATACAGCCCCAACTCCTCCCTTGGAAATCTCCTGTGGAAAGCAAGAGTGGCATCTGAAGCAATGGATTATCAACTCAGAGAGATATTGAGAAGCCATTGATGACAGAAATTACCTGTAAAGAAAGAAATTACCACAAAATCAATATCATCTAAAGCAATCTGCAATGAACAGTTCTAGCAGATTAAAGGAAAGAAAACCTCTCTCAAGTACTAGAATTGTAAAATATTTTTCTTTTTTTTTTACTTTATTACTTTGGGGATAGAATAGCTGATTTGAAGTATTTTGTTTTCCTTTGGGAACAATGCCAGAAAGGATCTTCAGTGATTTGTTATCATCTGTGCTAGATATGGAAAGACACGCTTAGCATGTGCTAGATATGGAAAGACACAAAACATAGTTTTTTAATACGTTGTATTGAGAGTATTAAATTCTGCATGTAAAATAAAGAGATTTTTAAATAATCAAAGCTAAACTATAGCAAAGTTCTTCTATATTATGTAAAAAATATTTCCTTCCCTATTTTTCAAGAATTCAAAAATTCTGTGTTTCTACAGATGTGTTTTAAATGGCAAATTTGTTACTGAGTGGAAACAAAAATATGGAGAAAAAGATTTGAAGTGTCTAAATTCTTGTATAGAAAGGTTTTGGACATAAATTTATATGAAAATATATAGAGATTGTAAATGTGGAAATTATTCTTTTGATTTCATTTAGAATTTAACTTTATAAATGTGAGGCAGACTTCAAAAATATTTTGAATGTATAATTTAATCACATCCAGTACTAACTGTTGCCTCCATAAAGGGAAGGTGTGACACCCTATAAAGGGGTGACACCCCAGAGGAGGTGACAGTAGCTCTAATTCAGTGGAAACGCTGCACAATGAGGATTACTAATCTTTGATCATCATCTATTCAAATGGAGCAGCTTTGAATGGTAAGATATCTGTCCCTTTGCCAAAGCAAGCCAGGGTCTTCTAATTTTTATTTTAGGGGGAATGTAACTAAGCAACAGATCATGAGATGGAAGACTTTGATCACTGGAGATTGCTAAGGGAGACAAAGTGGAACTCGATGGAAGGGATTCACAAAGATGAAGGAAGATGGAGCAGAAAAAGGAACAGCAGAACATGCTTTCATGATAGAAAAGACCCTTTTGAATGCCGCAAGAGAGACATGAATAATGAACTTGCAGGTATGTTGTTCAACCTAAAACTGAGGAAAAGGAAAATCTTTTCCCAGTTAATCTGAAAAATGATGCTTTGTTTTTTTTTTTTTTTTATAAAAACATAAACCAACAAACCCCCCCAAATCCAGCCTTATTTTGAATCTCTCAAGACTCCTATATGTCCTCATGTTAAGCACAAAACTTACTATGTGTGTTACTTCTTAACATCTCTTTTACATTTTTGCATCTTAGACTGACTTTGGAATGAGTAGTTCATGTATCTCCCTGACTGTTTTGTGAATGAAACTGTTTCTGGATTTCTGGATTTCAGTTGTGTATTTGCAGTAAATTTGCTGTTTGCTAAATTAATTTCACCCAGCTTTAATCACATATTTCTGTTAACTCTTTCGTTTTTGCTCTGCCTGAATTCTTTACTTTTTTTATTTTAGCATGTTTAAATCTATTTCCTTCTCCTGACATTCCTATAATGGCTGGGGCTTTTTTGTTGTCAAAGTACCTTATATTGCATCTTTCCAAGCTGACAGTTAACAAGTTAACATTATTTATGCTTTTTATAAAAAAACTCTCTGATGTTTTATTTAAAGTAACTTCCTAATGAAATGCAAAACTAATCTGTTTTCAGTTTAGTACAACTTGTACTGTACAACAAATGCCATTGATGACAAACCTAAAATTTGAAGGCCATTACTCTCATACATCAAAAAAACAGATTACCAATTTTTTTTGGCAGACTTGAAGTCATTGTAACATAGTAGCACACAGCCCAGCTGCAACAACCAGAGGGAAGCTTTTAAAGTTCCTAGGAAGGCTGGCAGCTCCACAAGCAATGGGGGGTCGGACAGCAGAAACTGCAGATCAGGGCAAACCAACTCTTACCTTTTTCTCTCATTCACATCTCAGTTCCAGTTGGATCCGGGAGCCCTGTTCACAGCTGCACTTGCCTAGAGAGACAAAACCACGTGTGCTGGAGGGCCTCTTGTTACTGTGCTGCAATCAATATGAAAAGGCAATTAAGCAATTTCCCTTTTTCTCTCAATTTGGTTCCATTAAATCATCTCCATAGCTTTGACTTAGATAGCAGACATAAAAACAAATATTTTGCCTCTGGAACAGGAAACTTTGCACAAACTGGTGAATATTTTTCAACACAATTTCATGTGGAGAGTGAAGTCCTTCACCCTCGAGGGCTGGACACCTACTCTCATTAGCAAATTATTTTATTTTTGTTATTTGCTAATAACAAAGTTATTTGTTTGAAACTTTCCTTATTTAAAGAAAATAATCTGTATTAAAAAAATACCAGGGAGAACATCACTTTTGAGAAAACACACTTGCTCATTAGAGCAAGAAGAAAGAATT